GACAAATTTGGTATTTTAGGAATCCTAAATGTACAACACACACTGATGGAAAAGTGACATTGTTAGAGGTTATAAATAATTCAACAAATGGTATCTATCTGATTAGTATTTCAAAACATATTTTCTCTCTTCCCAACCCCCTCTTTATTTTCTTAGAGAGCAGTTGCATTTGAAATCTATGGTTTCTGGCATATCTAGGGTAAGGTTATACTGGGAATTTACCAGACCTGTCAGTCTCTAACTTTCCTCCATATTTCATTATATCATTCCAGTTATAATTAGTTGTCTGGTAAAATTAAGAACAGTCTATTTCAGTGAATGCTCATGTGAACATTTAACAACTTTTTGTTAGGATGACAGCTTAGCGACAGAAAGAATAAACCAGAAAGGGAGAGTCACTGAAGTAACCTTGGTTAACTCAATATTGCCAGCTCAGTGGAAAATTCTAAGATTTTTCTTTTTTTTTCTTTTTTGTTATTAATCATCAAGCACACATTTCTTCAGGAGATAAAAGCATCAGTTCAATGGCATTCTCCTGCTTCAACTAGCATGTTTTGAACTGACCTGTCTTCATGGCTATGGCTCCCTAGAAACTTGGCCATTGATGAGCGTTGATTCAGCTGAATGCTTTGACATTCAGCTTGTCAGTGAAAGCTATTTTAATCATTAAGATGCATCTCCCTTCCAAGATTGCAAACTGTTGCTGCTCATATTCTATCATTTGAATACTGTAGAGAAGAAAAGAACCTGAATGGTTACTATTACTACAAATTATATTAAGAGCTAAAATTACCCGATATTTTAACTGTGCCAGGTATTGTGCTAAACAATTTACAGAGACTGTTTCATTTAATCTTCACCATCATGGAGTCTCACTATCTGATTCTGATCCCTGTTCTCCATCTATGATCTGTATAACAGGTGGCCCTCATGTGTAAAATGGAATAATAGTACCTATTTCAGAAGGATATTATGAGGATTAAATGTCACAACTCATCAACAGACCTTAGAATAGCACTTGTAACAGAGTTCTCAGTATTAGTAGTAAATTTTATTAGCATTTTGTAGATGAAGACACCCAATCTCTTCATCAACTGCCCTAGTCACCATCACTTCTAACTTCAACTCTCCCTCATGCCCAGACCCAAAGGAAGAGAGAAGGGAAAAATGAAAAGTGGTTTTCTTTCAGGACCTTTTTTTCTGTAGGTATCTAACTGCACAAGAGGGAGCACCACAATTGTGGCATGGTAACACTTTTTTTTATGTTTTCCTAGTCTTTCTTCACAGTAGCCTTTTCCCATTCAGGCAATTAATATACATACCAGTAAATCCCTGTTGAATGGGATGGAGGTAAGGGATGATAACTGAAGCTTTAGAAGTTTGGGGGATGTTCAGAGTAGAGGGATTTGTACATTTGTACATTGAGATTTATTTCTTCCAGAATTTAATGAGAGGCATAATAAAGTTAGCAAGGTGGCAGAATTTGTTTCCTATGCCCAAGATTGTGCAAGAGCAGAAAATATGTGCGACTAAGCAGACAACCCTAGCTAGTCTTACAGAGTTTTCTGTGCCACATTATGGAGCAGCAGAATGATCTTGTGCCCCTAGCTGGGCACAGAAGCTTAACTTTTCACAGTCTCCAGCATCACAAGGACTGCTTCCCAGTGTGACCACACGACTATGCTGTATGGTTACTGGGACTCATTCCTCTTCCTCCTGGGCACACAGCTAAACTACATTTCCTAGCCTCACCTGCAGTTATTTGGGGAAATGTGACTGCCTTTTAAAACCTATAGAACCCCTATGTGCATTCTCTTCATCTGCCAAGCCGAATGTATATGAACCAGCGGAGGACACACGATTCTAAAAAATGGCAGAATCATCGAATCAGAGATTCCTAACCTGGAATCCATTAAAAGAATTTCAGAGAAGTATGACCTTGGATTTTGAAGAAAAGAAATTCTGTATTTTCACCAACCTCTAACTGAAATTTAGCATTTATTTCAATTATGAATGTAGGCACCAATGCACAGTAGTATTAGCAAAACTTATGACTTTGTCACCAATAAAAATCATGGGAATATTCATGTTATCTTACTGTATGGAGTATCTCAACATATCATTTACACTTAAATTTTCTTGGAAATAACAGTAATTACTAGACCCACTGCTAATTTTTTTTATTTCATATGCTAATAAAGAAGTACATATATAACAAATTTGTTTTAAAATAGTTTGATAACTGTAGTTCAATAAAACTGGTTTCCTTTGTAATCCTATATGATTTTTATGCCTTTTAAAGTTAGTTTTCTGAGGAGGATACTTTAGGCTTCACCAGACTGCTGTAAGAGGCTATGGAACAAAGCAAGTTAAAACCATCTGTTCTAGATGTATTCCTAAATGACTTAATGGAGTAAGGTCCATTTTTCCTTCTTTCTTCCACATCCCCACCACACAACTGACCTACATTAGAATGTGGTATGAAAAACGAGCTTTCATTGTGTTAAGTTATTGAGATCTGGGGGTTATTTTTTAGAAGTTAGGCTATGCAGACTAATACCCTTGCTACCAAAATGGCCCAACACATGATGGGGAGCACTAGAGACTTGAAGAAGATCCAGAAGTGAACCGTGAGGACCAAAAGTTAGATGAGACCAATAATGACGTCTCAGCAAAAATCAGCCTGGAAGGAAAGTGGTGATGCTCAACGCAGGAAACATCTCCTTCAACTTAGACATAAAGGACATAAAGTTCAATTATAGTAATTTAAAGAAACATTTCAATTATTCCTGAATTTATACATTTGTACACTGAGATTTATAACTGCCACACAATTATTTTCTTATTTATTATTTCTCTTCCCTATGAGGGTGACAATGTTTCTTTCTCATAGCCAATACTAAGTCCTTTTGAATTCATATATATGTGTACACACACACACGCACACACACGAGTATGCAATCTCCAATTAGTTCTGTTATACTTAAAATAATCCTCCTCAGCTAGAATTTAACACTAAAAAGAAGGCCTAATAACCACAAAGATGAGATGAGATCAATATTACATAAGTCCTTCCATATAGGAATTTGAAAGTTAATTTTTAAAAAGCCTTGCTGGTTTAAATAAAATAGTCTTGACAGGGTTTTCAAGATAGTTTTAAATTTGAAAACACTCCTCTCAAGGCAGTTAAGTTTAGTTTAATTTTACTTTCCTCTTTTAGACTATTCTGTCTTTAACTTAACTTTAGATCAAATGAATCTATCATTATGAAACCTTTGGGTTGTTAAAAGTCAGATGCAAGGACTCCTCTGAAGATGGACTCTTTCTAACCCTCAAAAACGTACAATATCTAAATTTTTGTAACCTATGGAACAATAAGTGAATGAAAAAAGCAAGGTTAGTATGCTATACAGTTTGAGTTTCAGCATTAAAATATGTAAAAAATATAGTTATTCTTAAATGCTACATAATGTAAATATCAGCTCTAAGTCTTATGCCTGGCAAATAAAAAAATTTTTTATCAGTAAATTAATCAAGCAGCATTTAATTTTATTATATGCAATGTCACTCATGACTAGACTTTGTTAAGAGAAAGTTGTTGCCTTTTTCACATGTAAGGGTAAGGCAAACCAGGATCAGAAATTAAAGTTTCTAAATTGACATTACTGACCCTTGAAATTCTTAAGGTGTTACAAAGTTCCTTGACGGAAGTTGAAAAATCTTTTAAACTGTTTTTTAGTGGCTGCTTAGTGTTAGTGTGTATTGGGAAGTATAATTGTTTTTGTCCTTTAGCTTTTCATTCATGGTAATTTTCACACATTCCAAACAATAAAGAACAGCAAGCATAATGAACTTCCCAAATACCTACTATCCAACTTCAATTATCATATCCTGCCATTCTTATTTTATCTATTTCTCCTTCCCCAACACTTTTTTTTTGCTGAGTATTTTAAAGTAAATCCTAAACACCAAATTATTTCCTCTCTAATTATTTCAGTATGTACCTCTGATGGATAGGGACATTTTAAAATGCAATACTATAATACCAATCAGCTCATCTAACAAGATTATTAACAATTCCTTAACAGCATACAGTCTGTGTTCAAATTTTGCCTGGCTATCTCAAAATGTCTTATATTTGATTTTATTATTTAAATCAGGATCAAAACAATGTCCACAATGACTGCATTTGGTTGATATATCTCTAAAGTTTGTTTTAATAAATTCCTCCTCCCCTTTTTAAAAATGACATTTATTTGTTGAAGAAACCAGGCTATTTGTTCTGTAGAAATGTGCTTTTTCTGGATTTGACTGTTTGCATTATGGTATAGTTTAACATGTCTGTCTGTATGTATATATAATTTTCTTTTGGCAAAGAATATTTTATAGGTGTTACTGTGCACTTCCTACACTTCCTTTTGCATTAGGAGGCACGGCCAGTGAGGTGATGTGTCCGTGGGGGACATTGTCTGGGTCCTCCTCCATTTAGTAATGTGACACTTGAGCAGTGACTTTAAGTGTTGTCAGTCTGATCTATCATTGTAAAGTGCTCCAACTTTCACCTAATAGTATTAGCTACTTATGACTAGTTGGCTAGATCTATTATTTCATCAGGAGTTGCAAAATAGTGACTTTATAATTCGATAACTGTTTCTGCATTTGTTAGCTGTAATTCTACAAAGAAATTTCTTCCATCAATTATGTGGTACCCTGAAATAAAATTCATACCAAAAAGGTAGGATAAACGCTTGTTATCTTTCACTGAATTTAATCTATTTTTACCATATAAGTTGAAGTCCTGTTAACTTCCTATGTGAACAATGAGTTTCCCCTAACCCAATCTATACCCCTCCCCAAAATCACCAGGTGGTTTTCACTGTGAAACCTAGAAGAACTAGAATGGGATGGGATAGCATGCGATTGGACAGGCCGAGATATGGTGCAGGGGTTTGGGGTAGGAAGAAATTGGGTCAGGGAAGAGAGAATACCTTAAGCACGCTCTAGGAGGTGGAATCTGAGTCTTCTGAGCTGTCCTGGACATCAGTGTTCTCCGTAGATTCGCTGGGTTCCTTGCTGTCACTCCCACTACTGTCAGCGGCCGGGTTCTTTTCTTCCTGACCGGCCTCTTCAGAACCAGGAAGTGTGCTACCCTGGCTCTCCCGGTTCCCCTCGGAGCCCAGCAGCACATACTCGCCCTTCTTCACCTCCGGCTGCCGTCTCAGCTCATCTGCCATGTGCGAGAGATCCCGCTTCATAGCATAAGCATCTTCCCCATCTGCATAATATTTGGGTTCTACTTCGCTAATCTGAAAGTTGAGGGTGTTAGAATACAGGTGTAAGGCTGCCCGGTTACTCTTCCTGACGTGCAGTGACACATACTTGGCACCAAAGTTCTCTATCATGGCCCGGGAGGCCTGGTCCATCAGCTTCTGGGCCAGGCCGAGGCGCCGGTGTGAACGTTTCACGGCCAGTGAGGTGATGTGTCCGTGGGGGACATCGTCTGGGTCCTCCTCCATTTTGGCCAGGACGTAGCCCACAATCTTCCCGTCCTCGTCCTCGGCGATATAAGAGAGCTGGGGCCAAGAAAGGCCATGGTAGAAATAATATTTCATCTGGTAGTTCTCGGGAAGGCAAAGGAGGTTGCAGTGTTGCATGTTCATCAGGTCGTCTGGCCCAGCATTGCGGATGTTCATGACGGCGGTGGTCGAAGAGCCGTAACGGAGGAAAACGCTACTGCCAAGCGCAAGGAGGACTGCGTCAGGGTCTTGAGTCCAGGGGGCCAAAGCCGCAGCGCGGGCGGTGCGGTGGCGACCAGGCGGAACGACCGGGAGGCGGAAGGGGCCGTATTAAGATGCGGCTTCCGGAAGTGCGCCACCTAGTCCCAGCCAATGAGGTTTTCATTCACTGTGCGTGTGCGTGCGCAAGGCTTAGGGGTTGGGGACGTGGAGTTCACTAAGCCCTAGTTGGCTTTAAACATAGTATTTTGTCCGTACCGTCATTATTGTTTTCTTTGAGTTGTAACTTTTTAATTTGGATACATCTGGATAAATTTTCACTGAATGAAGCCATGTAACCAGAATTTAGATCAAGAACCAGAATATTACATGCACCACAGAAGCCCTCACTCACATCCCTTTCCATTCCCAATACCCCCATGTCCTGAGTAAGAACTAAACTTCTAACCTTCTTTATATAAATGGAATCATAGTGTATATATTCATTTTGTGTCGAGATTTTTCTGCTTAATATTGTTTCAGCTAAGTTGAGAGTTCTTCAAACTCTTGTTGGATTATCCATTGTCTAAATATATCACTATTTATTCATCCATTCCACCGTTGATGGCAGTTTGTATTATTTTCAGTTTTAGAATAGTATAGGTAGTGCAGCTAAATCTTCTAGAACATATCTCTTGTCGACATACGCATATCTAACTAGGATTAGAATTAGAGTCAGAAGATAAGACATTCAACTTTCAAAAATAACGCCAAGCAATTTTCAAAAGTGGTTGCGCCACATTCTCATCAACATTTGGTATTTCTCCATCTTTTTCACTTTAGCCGTTCTTGTGTGAGTGGTGGTATTACATTGTGATTTTATTTCGCATTTCCCTGACGAGTAATGAAAATGAACACCTCTTTACGTGCTTATTAATTTTTATGTTTTTTTTAAGAAGTTTTTCTCAAGTCTTTTGTTCATTTTTCTATTGGTTTGTATGTCTTTCTCATTAATGTTTAAGGTGTGTGTGTGTGTGTGTATGTATATATATTATACATATATATGGATATATCCATATATATCCCATTTACCATTTACCCAGAGAATACTTGCCAGCAGCACTTGTGGCTGTAGCATTTACCCCGAGATAACGCAGATTACAGTCCTAGCCTTACACTCAAAGTTTGCCACAAAATATCTTGTTTTCATTATTTTCGCATCACTCTAGTATGTCAATAGTCTTTATGAACAAATGACATCATTCTATTTATAGCATTCTGGTTTCAGTAGTGGTATTTCCATTTATAAAATATAGTAGTTCTCGACCGCTGAAAATGTCAATTCCTAGAAAACATAGCATTCCTACATGTGATGTTAAATTCACGCTGGCAGCAAGATGTACTTTTTTTCTGAACAGGAAATAGGATGTGCGCGCGTGCGTGCGCGCACACACACGTTCTGGATATGACTCCTTTGTCAAATATATTTGTACAAATAGCATTCTACTCTATTGTTTGATTTTTCACTCTCTTAATGGTGACTTTTGACACCAACTAGTAATTTTAATATAGTACAATTTGTCCAGTTTTTAAATTTCATAGTTAATGCTTTTTGTGTCCCGTTTAAGAAATCTTTGACTTCAGGGTCACAGAGACATTCTTCTGTGTTTTCTCCTGAAAACATTATGGTCTTATATTTAATGTTTAGATATGAAATCCATTGGAATTTATTTTTGTGTATGTTGTGGATAGAGGCTCAGCTATTTTGTGTGCGGGGGGGGGTATTCTGTTTATCTAGCACCATTTATTGAAAAAAATCACTTTCTCCACTATATTGCATTGTTGTCTCTGTCATAAATCATAAGTTGCATTTCTAGATATATTTTAAATTTTTCATGCCATGTAGATAAAGCAAGATTTGTGGTATTTTTTTTTAATGTCATCTTTTTCTTTATTCTTAAAATATGATACTATTAAAGTCCAAGAGGTATTGGGTTGGTCCTTGTGTGATCTCCAGTACTTTGGGGGACACAGAACTGAGCTCCTAGGAATGTGAAAGCATCATCTAAAAAAGCTAGCAGCAACTACTGTGTCAAGTTCAAAGGCCCAAGTCAAATCCTGGCCACATTCATGGATGTCTGGTAGGCCTTGGGCTCCAGTTCTTGGGAAAGGATGGAGGTGGAAACTGTTTGGAGAGGACAATTGAGCAAAAGAGGTCCCAGAACCAGAAGAGTCTGGAGGGAGAAGAGGTCTAGGCAAAGGATAGCGATCTTCCTCTCTTTTCTGGTGGTACCTAAGGGCAGAGGAACATGACCCCGGTAAGGGGCCAAAGTAGGTAGTAGCTACTTGGATCCCATAGGGAAAGGGGGTATTTCTTTGTTAATGCGGAGAAGTCACATTTATTAGCATCACTTGCACATAAGCTGCCTATTTATATATCTTATATACAAACTTCCTTTTCAATTTCCTAGCATATCATTACCTGGGGACTCAAACTCCAAAGTTTATTCTATTGTAATTAGGTAGTCTTTTGTCTTATATTATGTTGTACACTAACACATCTAGCATATGTATGCAGCACTCTTTCATATGAGTATAGGCACACCTTTATTAGCTAAAGTAGTCTAGAGATGTGTGATTTGTGAAACAGTTTTATTAGCCACTATTTTTTGTTGTAATTTAACAATTAGATATGTTTTTATTAATATGTTTTTAAGATAAGATTTTAGCTCCTTGATATTTTGATCAACTCTATACATTGGAAGTTATTTCCCAGTATTATTTCCACTCAGAAAATTTTATGTTATACCTCACTTCATGGATATCACTCTTTAAGGTGATATCACTCTAAAAGCCTAATCCTGAAGAGTCAGTTGATTCTTCTATAAAGTCCTTCTTTTAAAAAGCATAGGCTACCAAAATTTGAGTACATCATGTTCTTCTATAGGATCATTGTGTCTTTATTGGCTTTCTAGAATAGAGACTTGACAAATGGGACAGATATGACAAATAGACCACCTTAGAAGAACTCAAATTCACATATTAATTATTTATCTGTTATTTGTGCTGTTAGCTCTTCTGTTTATCCTTCTCATTCCATGAACCATGAAAGCAAGATAAAGAAGATCCTTGGGCCCAAACAAATTTCAAAAGAAGAGACACCCTATTAACTAGTAAGTTTTGTTTGTTTGTTTGAGGCTATTTAATTTTAAATCTGAAACCTAATCTTAGAGTAAGGCAACAGCAAAAAGAGTTTTCAGACAACCAGTTGGTCCCAGAAAGAGGAAATGGCATTACTTTGTCTGCAGTGTGAGCCAAAGCATTTCCGTGCCTAAGTCATTTGGAGAGCGGTATAACAGCTATGTTATAAGGGAATTGTATGATATGTAACAGGTCATCAATAACTGAACAAATAAACATTTTTTATACCTACTGAGATGATAAATTCTCATTATTTTCTTCATTGTCCATAATCATAAACAACACCAAAGATTATAACTTCAGGCATACAAGTTAGCAAGAACAGGTAGCAAAGAAAACTTTTCTACTTTCTCACGTTACTGCTTGCATATCCTAAACCAACATTTTTTTTTCTGGCCATTGACAGGGCATAGATACATAAAACATGAGATTAATAATTTTGAAAACTAAATAGTTTTTGAAGTTAACATTGGATTTGAAAAGTGGGCAGTGGCTGTAAGTCATGAAATTCTCCTTGCATTGAAACAGTAGCAAAGAAGCTGGGTTAATATAAGCCCAAACTTCTCTGTTTTCGGAGAAGTATCAAATTACATATTTTGTTAAGTTAACATTAGAATATGATTGTGTCTTTAGGAGTGCTGGACTGTGTGGGAAATAACCACAGTCAGAGAAGTGCTAACGACCAAAGTGGAGGAAGCCTCACTCAGAATAGCCACTATAAGCAAGGACTGAGTCAGGTTAGAATGGACTCATATAACCATTGGGCCATTCTTTGTCTTTTTGAATCTGTGTTCACACCTAAAACAATTCCTTTTTCCTCAAAGTATAAAAATATACGAGCTTATGATTACCAAGAAGACTTAATGCTGGGGTTCTTTAGAGGGTTTGTTTAAAAAAGGGAAAAGCCTTTTTGGCTTCTGTGACAAAGGTCTTGGCTCTGGGATGTTAGTTCTAATTAGATTCAAAAAAGCTTTGGATTAAAAGCAACTCCAATATGCTATGTAAGCAATAGCTAGCTATATACCCAAGAGAGTGGATGTTTGTGGAATTTGGGTGGGCCTCTGGACTGAGACTTTTTTTTTATCCTATTAAATGACCTCACTCCTGTTCCTATACATATGTAATGTCCTAAGTAATGAATCTGAGACATGCATTACCATATATTCTTTACAATCTTTATAACAGGCAGTAAGATTTAAGTATTTAATCTTCCAATTAGGGAGTGGCTAACAGAAGGGCAGCAAGTCTTGGACAAGGGTGGAGTTTCCAGTATACAAATGGTTATCTAAATCCCTTTACGAATGTGGGAAAACAAAGTCTTTCATTATAGCCTCAAGGAATTTGGGTCAATGTAAATTCAGGTATGTTCTGCTCTGGAGTTGTATTGGAAAATAAAACAAATTAGAACAAAAATTCACTGCCGTAATATAGTAGTATGTATGAAGCAGGATAGCAAGGAGACAGGTTTGGGAATCACGGAAAAAGAAGGTAATGCTGTATTATGTGCTGCTTGGAGATTTGTTAAATCATGAACATCTCTGCTACGTTTCTTGCATTACCAAATGGATGGAAATGTGAGGGATTATTTTCAAGCTTTTTCTTGAAGTAAACAGATGATTCAGCATTATAATCAGCCTAGAGGGTGGGATGTAAGCAATCATTGTTAAGGATCGTTTTGCCTGTGGGAGAAGAGCCTAGGAAGGCTTCAGAGAGACATAACATTTGCTTTGATTCTTCCTTATATTTTCAGATTTGGCTAGCATATCCTCTATTCTGGGCAG